AGCGAGTTGCTATTGATTTTGAATCAAATACTCCTGATAATATTACAATGCATCAACAAAAACAAATTCCGTGCATTACATCAATGTTAACTCGTCTGGTAAAATTTACAGCTCCGAAAAACGGAATTGTATAGTCGTTTTATATATAAGAATTTTATAAAATATAACATACATATATTATACGTTACGTACCTTTGTAACATTAATCACATTGTTATTAAGAATTAAAAGATAATATTTTATCTATGCAATTTCTATTAGATGTGACTGCAATGTAAAGCATTTAAATAATAGCATTTATTTTATACAAACTGCCATTATATTATGTAATATTTAAATTAAAAAACAAAATATTATAGCAATACAAAGTAGCTTTTATGGCATATACAAATTTTTGTACTTGTCTAAATTAATGAATATATATGCAAATCATATGTTTTGTAAGATTTATATTCATATAATGAAAATTTATAATAGAATCTTTAATTATAGAAACTATAATTTTTAACAACTCCTAAATCACTAGAAAATTGCATAAAATGAATGTAATAATAGTCATCTAAAAATTTATATTCAAAACTATTATATGATTAAGATATAAAATAAGTACAAATGAAAAGTAAAATTAAGACATCAATTTATAAATATAGTCAAAATTGAATGCCTTTATAATTGCTGCTTTATGAACAAAATTTTACAATTTGTATATATTATCTATAAAATTTTGACATCATATTTTAAAAAAACTATTTTTTAATCATTATAATGCAAACAACTGAAGAAATTTATATATTTACACTTTGTATAAAAGTCAAAAGGACAAAATTTGTCTTTTCATAACAAGCAATAGTCTATCTTATATGAAAAAAATGAAATATTTTCAACTTAGTAATAAAGATAAACTTAACTTGCCTAATTAAAGTAATTGTGATTATATAAGGTGCAATTGCAACGAATATTCGAGTTTTATCTATTGTTAAGAAAATAAATAAAAAATAAGAAAAGCGATTTGCATATACTTTTGGAATTGCTAATACATAAAATGTTATGTTGCTTCATAGTTTGAGAAAGGCATTATTATAAAGAAAATAAATAAGAATTTAACAAAAAAATATTACTATTATAGCAAAAATTGCTATATTTGTATTTGAAATGGCATTACTATGATCTATAAAACTTCTGAAAACGTGATATAACAGTCTTTCATAAGAGTATGTCATTTTTAAATATCAATTATTGAAATTTTATGTTACTTTTAATAGTTTGATTGCTATATTTCAATGGTGTGTTTATACATGTGAAATTTATATAAAATATTTTCCATAAATTTTTATCTTTTACATTATACATTATATAAAATTTGTTCCTTTCTATAACAATTTTCAGTATAATCTTTCAATATATATAATAAAGTAGTTGCTCAATAAGATAGTATTACAAATAAGATAAAATTACTTATAATATTTATTGTATTGTAAATTGTGATAAGTATGTACTGATGTGCTCTATGTATTGCAATACAATTTTTATGTATTTTTACTGCTATTATGTAATCGAAAATTTTTTACTATCTTTATATTATAGCTTTTGTAAGTCTTTCGTATATTCTAACTTGGATATTTAGCTAATTTTCATGTATGTGAATTTGTATGCAACTATAGATACAATAAAGATTAAAATAAAAAAGATATATTTATTAATGTCATAAAATATACCTATATAAATTTTAAATACATTGTGTCGTGTATCGAAGACAATAATTGAAAAAATATTTTATCAACATATGAATATATTTCATGACTAGAACACAAATAGTTATACACAGATATTATTTACATAAATAATTATTCGTATAATAAAGAATAAACATTTTTGATTTTTATTCTATAGTATCAGTTGAAAATAAAACGAACATTTATTAAATGTTTATATTATAAAAACATAATATATTATAAAATTCATTAAAATATTTTTCTTGGTGCATTTTCAAATATATTATACAGAATATTCGGACAAAATAGATAAAAAATTTAAAGAAAATAAAAACACAAAAGTTGGTATGCGAAAATATTCATTGAAAATAAAATAAGATAGTGATAAAGTGAGACAATTTTATCTCTATTATATTTTATTTCCATCTCACTTCATTTAGTACATAATTCTATTGCTTATAATTTGAACATTTTTGCATATTTTTGCATTTATACATGTGTTTATTTTAGCTTTTAGAATCATCTTTTAGATTTTATATCTATTTCGTCCGAATCTGTATTATTATACATATTCCTTAATAATGGTCCCTTATTATTTTTGATAATAATACAATTTAAAATATTATTCTTGTGTCACTTGTCCAGGAATGTTAAGTACTGTTATCTTATTTACAAAATGTTGTGTACATTCTGGTGCTGTATATGGACGATTATTTTTTAATCTAACTGAATTTGTATATGTATCTAATATTATTGGATTTAATATTGGTGAAAACATTTGAAAATTCTTTTGCGATTCTAATGTTTGTGTGGTAAATTTAACATTTTCTGATATATTTTTAATTTCAATGACAGATTCTTCAGTAGTAAGTGGTGCAGTCTTATTTCTATGTTTAAATATTTTCTTTAACTTATTCTCATTTGTTATTATACCTACACATATTGTTTATATTATTATTATTATTATAAGAAAGTATTTTATTTATTTATATTATTATATATATTATTTAATATTACATACCATTTTGTGAAATACTTGCTGTATGAACATCTTCCTAAAATTACAATAGATAAAATGAGAATATAATAATTTGAAATAAAATTTTAATATTACCTTTTTTAAAACTAGTTCTTTGATTGGTTTAAAAGGATTGGAATGGATTGATAATCTTGATGGTGAATCTAATGCTATACTTTGTACTTCAATATTTTTTTCGTGTTGAGTACTCTGAAAACCTTTAAGTTTACTATTTAAAGTTGTATAATTTTTTACTATTATATCCAGCAGCCATCTGCATAAATTATTTTTATTTAATGAAAGAAAAAATTAAATTTATTATTATATTTAATATAAAAGAAAATATAAAAATTTTTTACATACCTGTATCCATTTTTTATACCAATTGTATTATCTTTTGATTGATCTCCTTTGCAAATACACGAACATATCTCTACTCTTGTAGGACACTTCATAGTATTAGCAGCATGTTCTACATCTAAATTCTCAACAAGATCTAATTCATCAATAGCTCCATTTATATCTTGTTTGTTTGCAAGCCTATTATAAAATATTATGTATATATATGAATATGTATCAAAATTTTATCAAAACAAACATGTTATGTATGTGAATATATTTTATGCACTTATGTACATTATATCTACAAATAATATGCATAAACAACAATATAAAAACATAAATAACATATTTAATTTTCTTACAACAACAATGGTTTTCCTGAAATACATTCATGTGAGATTAATTCACCAAGAACAACCTTATTTTCTGTAAGACGGGAAATATCACTAGCATCCACAACATATATAAGACCATGTATCTAAAATAAAAATGATTATCAAATAAATATTTTGTTATTCATAATAAAAATGAAAAAATTACATTTCTATGAAATGTAATTATGATCTGTAAGAACTTTGTAATATTTATATTAAATTGTATTTAATTATTTATTATTTATTAATCATGTTATTAATAATCATATTATTAATACTTACACCATTATAATATTTTGGCCACAAAGATCTAATTTGAGAGCTACCACCAATGTCATAAATTTTTACAGTATATGTTTTGTATTTTAAAGATACTATATGGAATCCCATTGTAGGTAATGTGTTTTTATCTGAATCTAAAAATATATTATTATATATTATTATTTCATTATTTAATAACTTTAAAAACATAAGTATATATTAAATATAATTAAAATTATAAATTTATAAAACATTTTTTGTTAACTATATTAATTATAATTATCAGAAAAAAATTGCAAATCAAAATATATATATATACCTCCACTGATACAATTTAAAACCGAAGTTTTTCCCGCATTATCAAGGCCTAAAATAAGCAAAATAATAGTCCTAAAAATCAGATTATTATTAAATAAACATTTTCTTATTAATATGAATATTTTATTATATAAAACCATTACTTTTCGGAACATTTTTTCTTTTGTAACCTTTGTAGTACGTTTCGCATACAATTACCCATTATAATAAATCTGTTATATGTTGTACTTTTAAACTAATTCATGTCATGTTGTACTGTACATTTCTATATTTAAGAAATAGACTTAAATATAATACGGACTAATTAACAATCATTGCATATAAAACACATCTATATTAATTATGGTACCATCAATATAATGAATATAACTTCATACATGTAAGAAATAAATAAAATAAAAACTCTGAATTCTGAACTAAAAATTAATTTTTTTATAATAAATATAATACACAAATAATTAAATCATAAAATATCATATAAAAAACAATTCACGTACTATATATTATATCATATAAAAAATTATAAAAATGATGAAATATCGAATATAAATTTATTATAAATCGTTTTGAAAATATAAACAATTTTTTCAAATTACTAATATTTTTGAAATTATATTTTTATATAAAAAAAAATTCTAGTAATAATATCTAAACAATAAATATCTTTTTTAAGTTTCTTTCTATGTTCTTTTCATACTTCGTGTCTTTTCTTCGATCACATACTTAAAATTGTCTCAACAAGATCTTTTATTATATATTTTTTAATTTTGAAATATATAAATAAATAATTAATATTGAATATCAAAAACATATAAATAAGCAATTTACTTTGTTCATATTTTATATTATGTTATTAAAGCCATTAAATTTCAGTTTGATTAGAATTTTTAAGAATACTTGAAATAAAAGATAAATATATTTTATCATATTTGATTTTGTAAACAATATATGTATATATATATATGTATATTGAATATTTTTTAATAAATATGGATAAAGGTTATTTATTATCAAATAAAGTTGGTTTTATTGGTGGTGGAAATATGGCAAGTGCTATTGGTGCTGGCTTAATTCGTAAAGGTAATAAAGTTTTTTAATATAATTTATAAAATTAATGATTAATTGTAATACGAAAAATAACAATTAAATTCTTATTATAGGTATTTTAAATCCAGATAATGTTTGGGTTTCTGCTCGTACAAATAAAACTTTAGGCTTTTGGAATGATCTTGGTGCTCATGCTACATTAAAAAATGGAGAAGTAGTAGATAATTGTGATATCATATTCTTAGCAATGAAACCCCATATGTTTGATGATGCACTTAAGGGTATTAAAGAAACGATGACAAGCAAAGCTTCACATATACTTTTTGTTTCAGTTCTTGTAGGAGTTACATTAGATTGTTTAGCTAATGTAAAATCATTATTAAAAATATAGATAAGCCATATTTGTATAAATAAATTTAATTTAATAATTAATATAATATTTTTAGAAACTTAAATCTATTGTTACATATCCCAGAATAATTAGATGTATGCCTAATACTCCTATGATGGTTGGAGAAGGAATAACAGGTAAAAGAAGATATAAAATAAGATAATATAAATATATAAAATAATATTGTGTTAAAATAATTATAATTTCTAATGTTTAGTATATTGTTCTATGAATACAACAAATCAAGATGAAACTATGATAGAAAAATTATTTTCATATATTGGTGTAATTGAAAATGTTCCTGAATCTCTTATGAATGCTATAGGTGGTCTTTCAGGATCTGGTCCTGCTTATGTAGGTATAATTAATATTATATATTTTTTTTAAAACAAACATTAAAATTAAATAAAATTTCTTTAGGCATATCTTGTTATAGAAGCATTAGCAGATGGTGCTGTGAAGATGGGTGTTCCAAGACCAATGGCAACAAAATTTGCAGCTCAAGTATTAGTTGGAGCTGGTAAAATGGTATTAGAAACAGGTAGACATCCTGGTCAATTAAAAGATGAAGTATGTTCTCCAGGAGGTACAACTATTACAGGAGTACATGCTATGGAATGTGGACAAGTTAGGTAAAATAACCATGAAATTTATATATATTATATAAATTTTTCAGATATTACCATCTTAATTTCTATCCATATTATCATCTATAATAAAAAATATTTTATATGAAATTGAATATTTAGAATAAAAATATATAATTCTATTTTTAAAAAATGACTCATATATGACTATATCGTATGTGATTATAAAAAAACTAGTAATATCAGAATGTGTCCTTTCTGAAATTCAATTTTTATTATCAATAATAACAGTAGTATAAAACAAGATAGTAATATCTGATGGACCATTTTGTATATCATTACATTATAACATTATCAATTATATTTGTAGAGCTTCTATGATGAATGCAGTTGAAGCTGCAGTAAGAAAATCAAATGAATTAACATCTAATATAAAATAAAAAAATTGTAAAATATAAATATAATAATAATATAATATAAATATAATATAAAAATATGTAATATAATTCGTATTTTTATAAATTTCTTTATTTTTAACAAATTATTTTATTTTAAAAATTTATCTTTCTTTTTAAGAATTTTAAGTACTTAAGATTTATTTATATTTTAAGATATTTATTATTTAAAAATACAAATAGTATAAATAAGTTCTAATTTAGTATGAAAATACAAATTGATTTACTATTTTAAATAAATACAATTTTTATTGTTTTTTATATATAATTTAATTATTTATATATAATATAATTAATTATATCAGTAAGAAAAAATAAAATATTATATTAATAATGTATATTATGTTAAATATTTTACAATTATATATTATACAAAATGTAATTTGTATATTATATAAAATGTATTATGTTTTTGAATACTCTACACAACGAGATGGATCTGTAGGATAATATTCTTGACACTTGGTCATAAGTCTTTTTAATGCTTGAATATATTTTCTTTGAGTTTCATCATTCATTACATGTGCCACATTTTTTGAGAAAATTTTTTCTCTTCCGGTACGCGCATGAATACCGACCATAGTTACTCCAATAGGCCATGGAGAATTTCCTATTGCCATTTGTAAATATGCATCACTCGCCTATAATAAAAAACTTATAATATATACATTATTTTAAAATTATGTATATATTATATAAATTTATTAATATACTTACTAATATATAATTACGTTCAAGTAAATGTTTTACAATATCAGTTAAACTATCAGTAATATCTTCTGGGAGGGACTTATTTTTTAATTTTCTAAGAAGAGGTTTTAAATATTCTCTTGTTTGGGCATAAGTAGCACTAGCCATTTTTCCTCTAGTGCTCATTTTTTCTGCAGTACTTCTACTATTTAATTGATTGCCCCACATTTGTACTAAAAATTGTATAAATTGTGTAATAACATTTAAGTCAAAATCTCTGTCACCCTTATTTAATTTTATGGACATTTTTTGTAAATCTTCATAAGTAACTCCTTCATCTGGCACATGTACATCTCCTTTTCCATCACGATCTTGAGGTTTAGAAGAAGCTAATATTTCATTCAAATATGCTTGATCTACTTGTTCCATAGCTTCTTGGAAATCATTTCTAAAACCCTAATTTAAAATAATTATTATAGTAATCACTAAAAACATTTTATTCTTTTAAAATATTTTAAATACTTACTTTATTTACTTCAGGTTCAAGAATTTCACATTTTCTTAATCGTTTAAAGGCTTCTATTTCTGATTCTCCAAATAATAATATAGGTTCACTTCTTTCACGTAATCTTCTAATTACTTCGTGCCTAGGTAATGTTAAATGTTCAGAACTACCATCAGTTACAGAATCTTCTTGTTGATGAGCTATGTTAATTTTAATATCATCATCATTATTTTCCTGTATTTCTTTTACTTTTTGATCTTTTGTCATTAGTTCACTTCTTCTAAAGTATTTTTTGTTATTTTGCTGTAATATTATTTTAATTTTAAATAAAACAAAAAAATAATTAAAAAGAATATTATAAATTGATTATTGAATAAAATATTACCAAAACATTGCTTTCCTCCAATTGTTTTCTTTTCTTCATTATTTCTGCTTTTAAAATATCCATTATTAAAAAATTTCGATAGAATACAATTTACATTAGAAATTGTTATATGTATATGAATAATAAATTCAGAAATTGTCCTAAAATAATTAAGAAATTATTTTTCTCTATTTAATTTTTTAAGGTTATTTATATATTATCACAATTTATATATAGAATAGACTAGTGATAGGCAATATAATATCGATATTTTTCAATTTAAATATCGATATTTTGTTTTGGAATATATTGATATTTAATATGATAATATATTCCAGTATTGATACTTAATATATAAATTTTGAAATTTCAATACAAATATTCTCTGTAACGTAATATAAGAGAAATGAAATAATCACTAGCTTTTTATAAAATTTTTAATTAATTCTTCAAAATCTACTTTACTAAATATACTAAGTGGAAGTTATAAAAATAGTGACGAAACAAACAATAATTATTTAATAATAAACAAGAAATTATTTAAGCAGAGAACATTTTTCGATATTCGATCAAAATATCTTATAATACATTTTATATTTTTATCTATATTCTAATTATGTTATTAAATATTTAAAATATTTAATTTAAAGAAATAATTTATTTTCATAATGAGATTTTGTTATTTTTAATTATAAATATCGATATCGATAATATAGATATATACTAAATATTGATAAAATTTATTGTGAGAATAGAGTTCATATAATACATTTTTATGTTTCAGATGATAACATAGATGAGATACATATGGTGATATCTTCATTTTTCCATGAAATAAAATCAAAGCATTTCTAATTATCATAATTTCCGTTAAAAGTGAAAAACGAGCAGGAGATGATTTTGGTACTATTTTTGAAAAAAAATTTTCATTTTAAAATAAACGTTAAGATATTAAAGCATTATTGTAAAAATTTTTTTTTTGATAATGTCACTATTATTCTCATTTCCATTATAATTTTTCATATTTAATGTAATTAAAGTATTTGAATGCTCGATGAAAACAATTAATATGTATATTACAATTGATTTTTCAAAATAATATTATAATTATAGTAAAATACAAATATCAAAATTATGTAAACTTTAAAAGGAAGTCGATATATTGAAGTTAGAGAAATTTTTTTTTTTTATACAGATATATAAAAAAAAAAAAATCAAAAATATTTGAATACTAGAAATAAATCATGTTTAAAAATTTATATTATTAGAATTAATATTAAGACATTGTTTAAGTTTAATTTAGTATAGTTATTAGTTATTTATATTTAAAATGGTATTCGAAAAAAATCAAAAATATAAAAATGCAAGAGAAAATTAGTATTAAAAGAAAATAATATTAAAATTTTAAAGAAAAGAAATCTTACAAAGAAATATTAATAGAAGTAAATCAATATTATTAAAAAAATGAAATAATACAGGAAATCTTGCAAATAAAATTAATAAAAATTAATAAAAATTGATTTTAAAGAAATTAAAATATCGAAGAAAAATTTAATTTATAAAATAAAATTGATTTTGGCTTTAAAACTTGTAGTTCAAGAATATAAGGAAAAAGATCTTCATTTTTAATTAATAACAAAAATTAAATTTTGTGAAAAAAAATACATTGATAAGAAAACATTTTTTGAGATATTATACTTTTTGATAAAAGCAAATTTAACATAAATATTTTTTATTCTGACGCAATTATATTTGAAAAAAAAACGAAAATTGAAATGAAAATTTACTGACTATAAAATATGATAATGCTAATATTTTATATAATATAGATTTTTAGATAAATATTTTCATTTAAGGTAAAGAAAAATTTTAAGATATCAAAAAATTAAACTTAATAAAAAAAAAATGTCATAAAACTTTTACTCTTAATGAATTTTGTATGATTCTAAATATTGTGCTTGGATATTATAATACATACTATTTAAATATGCCATTATAAAGCCTTGTGTTTAATTTTAACGAACATTTATGGTTTTAAATAAATAAAAAATAAAATAATTATGAAGTAAATAATAAAGTGTTATTAAAACAGAAATTATTAATATTGAAATATGAAATATTATATATATAAATGTTATGTTTTATACAGAGTATTTAAAAAATGTGAAAACATGAGTGGAAATTCTTTTCTAATTTTAAACATTTTCCTTTTTGTTATAATTTTATTAACAAGTTATTAACAAAAAATATTGGCTAATCATATAATTTAGAATTGGAATTATATCAAACAATGAATAAATTATAATATATCATTTGACTTTTATATAAATCAAATATGTTTGACTGTTTGTTGTTTTATTGTTATACAATATAAGATTTACGAGACATAAGAGATAATATAACATATTCTATTACTCTTTCATATTATAATGTATCTTATTAAATTTATTTTATTTACTTAATCATAATTCATTTTTATATTCTTATATATAAATTAATATATATATATATATAATGTATATTATATAATATATATTATAATATCTATATAAATGTCTCTTACAAATTAAAACAAAAATAAAAGTATCAAATATATAATAAAAAATCAAAATAAATTATTATAAACATAATTTTTATATTTTATATAGTGAAATCAAAAATTTATTCTTAAATTGTTTCTATGAAGTATAAATTATAAATTATAAATTATCCAATCTATATCTAAATCTTCTTATATTTATTGTAAAATTGTATTTACTTTAAATATAAATATAAATATAAAACGTCTATCACTATATATCACAAATTTATTTTCCATCTTTTGTATTCTTGAGTTTTTATTTGATCTTCTATACAAGATTCAGATTTAGAAGTTTAGAGAGATACTTTTTATTCTTTTTTCATATTCACAATTTAAAATTCCTCTTTTATTTTTTGAATTAAAAAAAAATTAAACTTTTTTTTTGATTATTCTCTATTTTTTCTTTCTTTTTCTAATTCCTATCTCTTTTTACTTAGAAATAAAGTTCTTATTAGTTTTTTTTTTTCTTTTCTTTTGAATCCTTTCATCTCGATCTTCCATACCTTTTTTTTTCTTCTAACCATTTTATTTACTTATTTATTCATTTCCATTTTAACTATTTTTAACTATCTTTCAATAATCTCTTTTATTAACTTTTCTCTCTTCCTTTCTTTTATCATTTCTTTTTTGAAATTATAACTTTTAATTTTGTTTCTTTATCTTTTTTTTGTTCTTTGCTTTTTTTTTTCTCTTTTCTATTTTTTTTTTCTCTTCATTCATAATTCTTATTTTGCTTCTATGATTTCCATCATCTTTTTTATACTTATGATTTTTATTTTTATTCTTTTCTTTTTTCTTTATTTTTTCTTCTTCTTTTATTTTTGAAAATATTTTTCATATTTATTTTCTTTATATATTCTTGATTTTATCTGTAAAATTCAGAAATTTTCTTTTATAATTAATCATTTTTTTTCTTTTTGTATTTTTATATTTTTTTTTTATTCATTAT